GGAATTTGGGCTCAAGGCTCAGGGTTAATTACCTCTTTATTTGCCGGCTTGGTTATTTCCACATCACATTTCTGCTGGTTCAAAAGGGTTTACGATCCCCACAGAGTGACGTGCATTGTTTTGTTTAGGGAACCCTCTCTTACTGAAGGTTTGGGCTACGGCTCAGAGGGCCTATTATCTTGAGAGTTTTAGGTTGGAAATTGTTGCTTTCGATTTGCGACCGCTTCTTCTTGTCTTGTGTCATGCTTGTTGACAGGCAAAAGTCCGCACGCTCCTAAGTTGTCTGTTTTGATAGCACCCCCTGGATCTTTATTGCTCTGTGTTTAGATAGGTTGCACACATAGGCTAGGGTCAGGGTTGAACAAAACTGTAAACCCTAAAGTCTCAACCCTTTATCTTAATGTGGACCAGGAAACTTATACATGACCTTACTCTGCAAAAGTTCCATCATTCCAGGTATAAGGTGCTTAAGGCTATGCAGGTTTCATACCATCCATCAAAGGTTTACATTGGAACAAGCTCAGGGGCGAGGAGGTGTGTGCTTGCAATCCTATGGTGGATGGAGGAGATCTTGCACCTTTTTGGGTTTAGGGTTCGAAAATATTGCAGTTCCTAGACTAGAGGGTATATAAGGCAGTGCAAGGTTTTCTCCACCCAAAGTGTCTAATGCAGATTAATCATGCCTGTTTATGGAATGATATCTCCGCCAACTCTACTGGAATTACATGGGCCTCTAATGCTTATCCTACACCCCAAAGAGTGTCCCGCATTGCCGTCCATTTACCATGTAGTTCATGGAATGCCCACCAAGTTAGGGTTTAGGGTGTAGGTACAACGTACGTAGTTACTATGTTCAAATGGTTTACTTCCTTTTGGTAGGAACGAAGGACGAAGGGTTGGATTCCTCGATTACTGATAGCACCCCCTAACATTCCATGTAACGACCCACCAGCCTATTCTTTAACTGCGGGTTTTGGAGCGCGTGTCGTTCTAGTTGCGCCTAGTCCCCAAATCTACCCAGTTTCTACTAAGTTCGAATTCTGATGTAATCCTCTAACTTATCCTGAGCCATAAGCCCTTAACACTACAACGCCACATTGCCTCCTTCCCCATGCCAAAGGCCTTTTGTGGGGAGGCCCAAGAAGGTTGACTTACTTACCGTTGGGCCCAGGTGCTCCTGTCCCCTTAAGAATTATTTGCAGTATAGGGTTTAGGGTTTAGGGTTTATGGCCAAGGGTTTTAGTACAGGTGAGAGACAACTACGTCTGAGAGGATACAGGGTTTTAGGGGGGTTGACATTGAGGTTCATAGCTTTGCGTTTAAGCTGTACCGCCAGGGAAAAATCCATTTACAACCAGGTAATATCTTATGGACCCTGAGAATGGGTGTTTTATGCAACGCCAGTGTTTCGTAATTTGCCTACGTTGTGTAATGGTATAGACTCGTAGTGCACTGTCCTGACATTTTCACGGTTTCGGGTTACAATGTTCTTTTCCCCTATGTTGTATTCGCTTTCAAACCCTTAGCCCGAACTCTTTGCCTCTCAAAACAGGCGTCCTTAAGGCCTTTTTGTTTTATGAATGGGCAGTTATAAGTGGGTTATACGTAGAAGCACTAAGTTTTCAGCTTTCTTTGCGGAACGAACAGCGGGACGTATGATGAACCATAAGCCGCTACAGGGGGACTGTGGCAAAATTCCAGCACCCTAAACCCTTCACCCAGGGCGTAGGCGCTTGGCCCAAGGTTTGAGGTCCAAGGTTTGAGGTCTCAGCCCACAGCCTTTCGCTCACCCTTAGGGTTTAGGGTTTTAAGGTTTCGGGGTCAGGGTTGAGAGCCTAAACGCTATATCCTCAACCAGCTGAGGACTGTGGCCGCCTCTCGAATGGGTAGCTTGGATTCATCATCTTATGTGGGTTTAGGGTTTAGAGTTTAGGGTTCAGGGCTTGGCTTCGTGTTGGTGCCGTGCCCTAAACCTTGGGATTGTTGAAGCTTAGCATCGCAAGGTCATGCAGGAGCCGAAGGCTTAAACCGTGGTACACCCTAAGTCTTAAACCCCGGTACGACAAACAGGCCCAAACCCTAGGCCTCAAAACCTAAACCCTGAACTCAAAACCCCCAACGCTAAACCCTAAACAGCACGAGTTCACGGTTTTGAGCTTGGTGCACTTGAAAGGTTTATGGAAGTTCGGGTTTTAGGAGTATTGGGGCTTGGGGAGTTAAGGGATTCGGAACCCGTGTTTTTTTTTT